GAAGGTCTCCGAGACCGCATCCCCATTCCTGGGGTGGAGCCCAGAAGCCACATGGGCTCCGAAGGGTCGGCTCCTAGAGTCCCAAGAGAGCGGGGATTTTTTTTTTCTTCTTTTTTTTGGCACCTCCTCCCCCTAGCCCATCTCTATCCTTCTCCTTTACTAACCTAGAGGCCTTCTATGAACCTCCTTAGAGCCTCCACTGAGCCTTTCCTTCCTATTCGTGTTGTAATCTAGCACATGCTTCGTAGATTAATATGACTGCTAAGGATACTAAGCTTCTTCACAAAAATAAGCATCGCATCTGTAAAGGCACTACACAGAACTATAAAATCCCTGAGTTCGATGCTTTTTCACGAACCTCATAAAGATGGGCCCTATAGTATCTATAGGATGAGGCTGAAAAGCTAATCCCCACAAATACACGCCGCCAGGGCGTACCATACTGAAACAAAAGGACTGCGTTTGAGAAAATCTGGTGCTGTTTTGATACCAGGATAAGCCAGCGGTTGGACAACACCTAGCTTTTGACAAGGAGATGCTTCAGAAAATTTGGTGAGATTGAACCGCCCCTTTTTCTTTTTGTCCTTCATTTGAATAAAGCAAGGGCTACTATAGACATATCATAATATCATAAACAAAAGGAAGAATGCGTTTGAAAAAACCGCCGTTTGCATGTCTTCATACTAGGATAAGCCAGCGGTTCGACAACACCAAATTTTTCGATAAGGAGATGGGTCAGAAAATTTGGTGCTATCGAGTCGCCCCTCCTTGTCCTTTATTTGAATAACGCAAGGGCTACCATAGAAATATCATAACATCAAGAGCAAAGGAACACCGTTTTTTTTTTGTGAATCTGGTACTATCGAACCGCCCCTTGTCTGTCTTCATACTTAGTTAAGCCAGCGGTTCGACGACAACAAGTTTTTGACAAGGAGATGCTTCAGAAAATTTGGAGCTATCGAACCGCCCTTCCGAGTCCTTTATTTATTTGAATAACACAAGGGGTACCATGGACATATCACAATATCGAAAACGAAGGAACAAAGCGCTTGAGAAAATCTGGTGCTATCGAACCGCCCTCTGCACGTCCTCATACTAGGATAAGACCGCGGTTCGTCGACAACAAGTTTTCTGCCAGGAGATGTTTCAGAAAATTTCGTGGTATCGAGTCGCCTTTATTTGAATAGCACAAAGGCTACCATAGACATATCATAATATCACAAACAAAAGGAAAAATACGTTTGAGAGAAACTGCCGCTTGCATGTCTTCATACTAGGATAAGCCAGCGGTTCGACAACACCAAATTTGCGATAAGGAGATGCTTCAGAGAATTTGGTGAGATTGAACCGCCCCTTTCTCTTTTTGTCCTTCATTTGAATAAAGCAAGGGCTACTATAGACATATCATATAATCTCATAAGCAAAAGGAAGAATGCGTTTGAGAAAAACCGCCGTTTGCATGTCTTCATACTAGGATAAGCCAGCGGTTCGACAACACCAAAATTTCCGATAAGGAGATGCTTCAGAAAATTTGGTGCTATCGAGTCGCCCCTCCTTGTCCTTTATTCCGTTGAATAACACAAGGGCTACCATAGAAATATCATAACATCGAAAACAAAGGATTTTTAAATCTGGTATTATCGAACCGCCCGTTGTATGTCTTCACATTGGAATAAGCCAGCGATTGGACAACACCAAATTTTCGACAAGGAGATGCTTCAGAAAAGAAAGGGAGTATTTGACGGGTCAGAAATCGGTGTTTGCCGACAGTTCTGGAATTCACCCGAAAATTCGTCCCCAAATGGAAGGAGCCCCAGGAAAGCCGGAAAATGGCTCTGTTTTCACTTAATTCTAGGACAGAAATCGCCGTTTTCTGAGCTTTAGAATCGCCCAGGAAACCCCAAATGGAAGGAGCCCCAAGAAAGCCGGAAAATGGTTTGGTTTTCAATTGACTCTAATACAGAAATCGCCGTTTTCTGAACCCCTAGAATTAATCGCCCAGGAAATTCATCCCCAGATGGAAGGAAACCAAGGAAAGCCAGAATATGTTTTTTTTTTCAACTAAACTATAAAAATAGCCGTTTTCTGAACCCCTAGAATCGCCCAGGAAATTCATCCCCGAATCAAAAATTGCGTTCCCGTGCGTAGCATCCTCAAATTCCGTCGATATAAGGCTAATCAAGGTTAATCATGAGGGCATATGTAGGGGGTTATACGCTTTATAATTTACAAATCGTCAAACCCCCAGACCCCCACCTTCGCCGTCAGGTGAACATTCGTGATGGCGCAGCTGCTGTGGGGGGTGTTTCTAAACTAGGTTTCAAGGTTTTTTTCGGGTATCCATACAGATACAAGAAGGAAATCACGTTGTTTTCAAATTCAACAGAGGTACAAGTAGGAGCCAACGGCTTGTAAACCGTACCCCCATTTCTAACGTCCGTGTTCCCAGAAAATACGGTGAAAGAGCATCCATGCCCAAACCAAAAGAACGTTGTCAGATTCTACAGATGTACAAGTAGGAGCCAACGGCTTGTTCACCGTACCCCCATTTCTAACGTTCGTGTTCCTGGAACATACGGTGGCCAGAGCATCCATGCCCAAACCTTAATAACGTTCGTGTTCCCAGAACGTACGGTGACCACGGCATCCATGTCCAAACCATCGTGTTGCCAGAACATACGGTGATTACAGTATTCATGCCCAAACCATTATAACGTTTGTGTTCCCAGAACATACGGTGACCACAGCATCCATGCCCAAACCATAATAGCGTTCGTGTTCCCAGAACATCCACTTGCCAGACTGCCATATAACTCCCCCTGCTAGTAAAATGCATGGTCAGGAAGTATGTTGGTGGCAAGGATTCTCAGATCTGGTCCCAGGCGGCCTGGCTGTGTCCCCGCGTGCGTGCTTTAACCCGAAGTGCTGTGAAAACGAAGGACCTTTCGACAGCTGTGCTGTCCTTAACATTAGATTTTTGTCATCCCCCCAAAACTCAAGGTTTTTGCGCATAGAGCCCCTCAGTATCCCGAAAAGTTTAGGCTTCAATGTGCCCGAAATCCCACGCCCACCAGTATTCCGCGATAGGCGACGGCAAACTTGGGGTTCTGGGGGTAAATTTACATGACGATTCTTCAAGTTCGCCCTATCTGATCGTCCCCAAAGACTTCTTTGATGACAGCAAAAGCCCATATAAGGTCAAACCGCAAGCAGTGTCGGTTTTTTCAGAGAATCATTTGCCCGAATCTCAAACCGCAAGCAGTGTCTCCCTAAGGCATTTTCAGAGAATCATTTCCCCAAATCTCAAATCGCAAGGGGTGCCCCTTCTAAGATTTTTCAGAGAATCAAGTCCCCAAATCTCAAATCGCAAGTTGTGTCCCCCTAGGATTTCATCAGAGCATCACCTTCCCAAATCTCAAATGGCAAGGTGTGTCCCTTCTAAGCTTTTTCAGAGAATCAAGTCCCCAAATCTGAAATCGCAAGGGGTGTCCCTGTAAGATTTTTTCAGAGAATCATTTCGCCAGTTATCGTCTTGGCTTCTTGTTCTTCTTTATTTCGGTGGGCGACGGCATCCTAATATCATATCACTTAGATTCAGGTAAAACTACACATGTGGGGTTCTCCGGTCCTTTAATTTGACCGGACCAGCTACGTGAGCTTTTGCTACGCGGCTACCAGGCAACAGGCAAAGCCACTTAACTATGAGTCACCTCGTTTTCGACTCACGAGGGCAGATGGGGGCGGACACAACATCTCTAGATGCAGCATGTGGCAGTTGCTCCCTGATGTTCGACGTGTCGGTGAAGACTAGCCCTGTGGTTGCACCAGCCTGCTGGCTAATCCGGTCGTGTGCTCAGGCTGATATCTATCTAATCGATGAGCCATCAGCATACTTGGACGTGGAGCAGCGTGTCGTGGCGGCGCGCGTGATGAAAAGGCACCGGTGTCCTGGGCGTTTCCGCTTGCCGTGTATGCAGATGACATGTGCCCGTGCAGGTTCATTCTGCACGCCAAGAAAACTGCATTCATTGTGGAGCATGATTTCATCATGGCAACGTCAGGGGCCGAGTCCATAGTGAGGAGCCTGAGGTCTCGGGTTCATTGATTCAACAAGGGCCATAAGGTCAAACACAGATTCAGCATAGGTGCCACATTCTCCATGTTTTGTGGTTTCGTTTTATGACCGTGTCTCGAGTTCATATCGTTCAGTGGCTGACAGTTTTTGATGCTGATTTTTCTGGTTGCCTGTTCAACTACATGAGCTTCCTGCTGTTTGCCTATGCGCTTAAAGTGCTCAAGATATCAGCTTGAGAGGATTTGAGCTGCTTGAGAATGCAGGCCTGGCCAAGAGCCGCAATCCTCTTAGACTCGCAACTGAGGACTCTTTTGCATGTTCAGATATTTCAGTTTGTTCACACTTCGCAGCACCTTCCCAGAACAACGGAAAATCAAACCTTTCCATCTTGAGAGCCCAATGTACACCCGGGAGGGTCGGGCTTCGAAGCTTTCAGGCTTCTACTGCCACTCCACAACCAACACCACGACAAAATGGGTCCTGTAAAGCTATCTCCAAGGCCTACCCAGGCTTTGCTAATTTGCTTGCTGCGTCCCGCTTAGTCAAGGAGTAGCTAGTGCGTTTTTGGATTAGACAATATTGTTCTCCTAAGCCAGGCAGAAGCAGGGCTATCGGCAAGCATCAGCCCCACAAGAGCATACAGAGACCCTTGGGCACGGCTTCGCACTTCTGATCTGACTATGAGTTTGGAGTGGGAAGCCGTACATGCCGCTGGGCCGCCCCAGATCTGGAGACTGCAGGTATCTTGCAGATCGCGTCATCGTTTACGATGGGCGGTCCTCAACTTGGTGGCTGCATTTGCTCGATTTGAAGTTCAGCGGGGGAAAACTGTGCAATTTGCAGGCCTGGCATTCATTGCGTGGCATCTGCTCCAATGTCGCTTCTGGAGGCATTCGCCTCGTTGTGAATGTAAATGGTTGTGCATAAAGTGGCCCCTGCTAACTGTGTAAATATGCGAGCTACTACGTACTGAGTACCTGCATGACGAAGCGCGAAGGAGCCACAGAGTTTTGTGTTCCTGGAAAGCTAAAGGAAAAGAAGCGCCACCTGGTGGAAGGGTTCCGCGCTGCTTTGCTTCCAGCCTGCAGCACGCAAGCTCCCGGGGCACTTTGCATGCAAGTTGTGCACGGGCTTTCCCTTTACTCGAGACGCACTGGGTGACGGTTGCACTGTTCACTTTGGCCATGGGAAAAGCTGCAGCTAGTTGCAGAACGTTTGAAGTCGGTGTGTGGCTTTCTCATCCATTCACTGGGTCACCGCGTTACCCTTACAGCAAGCCCGCGGAGTATCCCAGCAGGGAATTGCACGATGGTACATTTTTTGAGCAATCTTTTCCGCTTCATGTTGGCTTGCACTGTCGTGGATTTGCACAGTCGTTTGGCTGTGATCACACCTGTGGACGGCAACCACAAGAGCCAAAAGGCCAAGGAAGTTGTGAGGATCGCCGGCTCAGAATCCCCAAATCCATTGCTATGAGATTCATAGGCACAGGCCCAAAAACCGCCTGGCCACTGCACGGTTGCTCTGCGCCTTGCGGTCGTTTTCAACCAGCCTCGGCCCTCTATGACATTCATCTGCTTAACCGCTTGATAATCTCCCTTTCAATATCATTGGAATCACCAAAAAATCCGAGATGATTTTCCAGAGTATAGCTTCTTCAACGGCAGTTGCGACTACATGCAACTACCAGAGCCAGCGATACCCACGCGCCTTTCAAGCTCGAAGATGCAAAAGACGTTGACAAGCGTGGCAGAGGATGGATACTGTGTGAAGGGCAAGCTCCAACGCCAAATCGCCATTATCCAACTTCGTCCCATCGTCTGGCACACATTCTGTTCCTGGCTCGTGCCATGCGTTCTCGAATTTTCCTAACCGCCACTTTCACCTTGTGAATCATGTCTCCCACTAGCGCCTTTCAAGAGGTCACCTGCGAGTTGTGTCTCAAATGTGCATAAGCAAGTACGACTTTCATGATTGCAAGCTGCTTTGGTTTCTTGCTCTGGCAGGGCATGAACAAATTCCTGGCGCAGCTACAGATCACCTTCCGCAACTTGTCAAATGCGAGCCCCAGCAAAGTGCCCGGCATGCATTTTCTTGTGTCGCAGGCAGGGATCCGACCAATTACCGTCCTCGAATTAACAAGTCCGAGTCTGTGAAGGCCTGGTGAGCTTCGATGCCTGTCTCGCACAGATAAACATGGTGTGACTACAGGTATGAATCCTTCGGGGCAGCTGCACACTTCGCATGCATGTCTTGGCAGGACCGCGAGCAGAAGCAGGCTGGCAGCTATTTCGTCTTGGAGGAGTGATTTCGAAGCTTTCGAGGCAAGCCTGCATGTGAAGCAGCCGTGAACTAATGGTCAATATCATAAGATATCATAAGCTGAGCAGTTGTGGCGGTTTGTGTAGTGTGCGGACACGCAGTATTGCCCCCGTTGTGACGCGAGCATTTTTGTTAGTATGTGTGATATGTTGCTGTGCCGGGAGCTAGCCAGTGAGTGACGCAGCCGGTGAGCAGAAACATGGATGAGTGAAAGAGCCCTCGCGACCTTTGCGACCTCTCATGCACAACGCATTGCCTTAATGGCATTTTGGCTTGCAATCGCGCCTTGGCGTGAAGTGTCCGCGCCTTTGAGCTTGAAATCGCGCCCTCCCGATTTGGCTTCAAATCCAGACCTCGCGTGCGGGAAGAATGCAAGCATGTCAACTGGAAAAAAACATCGCATGCTCGCGTGAAACATCCCCTCAATGTGGCTTAAAATCGCACTCTGGCATGAGGGTCCTAATACTTGAGAAACATTGTGCTCTCATGCGAAGCGTTAAAAGCACTAGAGAAAGCAGAACGTGTCGCCGTGGAGGGCGCGTTTTGTGGAGTTCACGAAATAACAGATTTTTAGCTTTTTTTTGGAAAGCCATTCCGAAAGACATGCATTCGTGTTGTCACTATTACAAAATTTACTAGCAACAACTCCAAGCACATAGTGTATACGTAGAAGACAAGATTGCTGAAGTTGCGCCTGGCTCCGGTCTAGAGAAACGGCTTTCCGAAACGCCTCGGGAGCTCGGGGACCCTTTAGTCGGCCTGTTAGACGCTCTCAGAAGGCCTTTAGAGGCAAAAAAGACAAAAAAAACAACAATAACAATTCTTGATTTTGAATTTCAAATACTTTTTCTCTTTGCCTTGCTGCCTCCTCCTCCCCGGACAAGCCCCACGTCTTCGTGAGGCCAATCTAGGGGTCCCCGCTCGCTCGGCGTCCCGGAGAGTCATGTTTTTGTGTAAGGGCCCCGCCTGGTACTCAGAGTAAACAGGGGACCACATACACGTACTTAACAAAGAATCTTCCGACATTCTCTGAAGATTCAAGCAAATCTTGCCCATAACAACTTCTCTATGAACTGAATCTATATATATATATACATATACACATTGACCACCTTAGAAGATACATTTGCAAAAGTATAGTTGTATTATAATTGTTGGCATGTTAGAAGCCTGGCCAAATCATATTCTGCTTAGACCATACATAAAAGTATGAGTAGTCTTTGAACTATACCAGAGCTAATCTAACAACTGTTGGCGCACAAACTATTCAACTACTCAAATTATTCAAACTGAGGGGTTTGAATGGTTTGAATAGTTTGGGGGGTTCCCCTGGGGTCTGGGCGTGGGCTGGGGAGAGGGGTTTGAATAGTTTGAATAGTTTGAATAGTTTGGGGCTCCGCCTGGGGCCCCCAAACTATTCAAACTATTCAAACTGTTCAAACTTTTCAAACTGGGCTGGCCTGGGGTCCCCAAACTATTCAAACTATTCACACTATTCAAACTGGTGGGTTTGAATAGTTTGAATAGTTTGGGGCTCCGCCTGGGGCCCCCAAACTATTCAAACTATTCAAACTGAGGGGTTTGAATAGTTTGAATAGTTTGGGGGGTTCCCCTGGGGTCTGGGCGTGGGCTGGGGAGAGGGGTTTGAATAGTTTGAATAGTTTGAATAGTTTGGGGCTCCGCCTGGGGCCCC